TTATTCCCCTAACCATCTGCTTCCTTAACAGATTTAGGAACGCTTATTAAAAGGAACAAGCTTTATTATCCAACTACACCTAGACGAGTACAAATAACGCCATAGACGAGTACAAATATCACGCGGTATTTGTACTCGTCTATTGTAGTACCGGTTAAACAGGTTTTCTCGCATCGCGCAAGCGAAGAATTAGATTGTAGTTACGAAAAAAAAAGTTATACTCGTTATTTGTATTTTGACTCGCCCTACGGGCTCGTCAAAATACGGCACAACTCGTAAAAATACTCAGCGACATTACACAACCAAACGTCTAATAAGATATATGTACTTTCACCCTCCTTAAATGGAAAGTAACAGGAGCAGCGCTTTCAGGTAGATTAAGTTTGGGATAGAGAAAATCATTGAAAAAAATCCAACTGAGGGAGCGGTCGTTATTTATCGCCGGGAAGGGGGGAAGGAGGGTATAATTGGGGAGATCAGTCGTCGCAGGCAGAATATAAAGGGGGGGCTATGGAAAATTGACTGCCAATAAGAAGGGGGGGGAAATCAGAATATCGTGGAATCTTATGGATGGATCAGTTAAGCCTTATTGTGACACAACACAATCCTACCACCCCCCCCCCCCCGCGATAAGTAATGACCGATCCCCGAGGAATAGTTGTTTAAGAGTACCTGATGAATTGAAAACATGGCAGACCCAACCTCCACCACTTCTCGGTCGCCAACAGCGAGATTCCTAGCCTCTGCACCAGCTCTGACCTGTAAATCAAACAAATTAACTAAGAACCTTTTCATCATATTCAGCGTTTTCAAGCCATTATTAGATGAGTGTCGCAGGTAATCCGAAAATGCTTTGGTTTTAACTGTGAAATGTTCAGAAGGCAACCGTGGACGATAATCCTACTCATGTACGTTGGATCAGCGGCGATCTAATTGGCCAAAAATAACGAATATAAATATAGAGGCAAGACCGATACAACGTAGATAAGTTTTAAGACGGAGCACTATATTTCGGCTGGCCAAACCAGCCTTCTTCAGGTGCAGTGGGAATTGACATCGAATTAAGGTGGTACTTAGATAGTACCAAACAGATTCAAAACTTTAACCAAGTGTGACCTGATTATTTGCATTTTCCCGCCAGCCAGTTTACCTGTTTTCATTTTCAGTTCTCATTAGCTGCTCATGTTATTTTCCTTTCATCTTGTCGTTCCTTGAGATATATCGGGTTTTGGTTTCATAACACTCCCCTGCCCTATTATGAATGGGATTACAATCTGTGGTAGGACACCCTACTCCTCCTCTCCCCCCTCATTTTTTTTCCCCAACAGTCAACCAGTGACCAAGTATACTCCGCTGGGGAGAAGGTCACTGTGAGAGTCAAGTTTCTTGCTCAAAATAAAACACAATGACTTGACCAGTTCTTTAACCCAGAGTTCAGCTGGCTAACTGTTAACCTCTTACACCCTAACATCAGTATACATATATTCCATACTGTTCCCTAAACATTTCCTAAGGTGCGGACAAGGGGAATTTGTAAGGAGAAATTAGATACTAGTCACTCTGACTTACTTTATCTTCTTTTTTTATCTTGAAATTTCCTCTCTGTTGAATTCAAAGCTTGTCCAGACTTACCTCGGATGCAGCTGCTTTGGGTGGAGTCCTTCGAGGGGGGTCTCGAGAATGAGGTGTGGGTACAGATGGAGATGCTGCTCTATTTCTGTGCCAGCGTAGCACTGAAAACAACATATAGAGCAATTTTAACTCTTACAATCTCAAGATCTCATTAGTAATTCTCCTTACTGTCTGCCATAAAATTCTTACGATGTAAGTTTGGAGAATTTGGTATTGGATCAACCGATAATCTCCTGATTTCTATTTTCCTTATTCTCATCACTAGTCTGCTCGATATTGTATTATACACACATACATACATACATACATACATACATACATACATACATGCATGCATGCATACATACATACATACACACATACATACATACATACATACATACATGCACACACACACACATACATACATACATACATACACACACACACATACATACATACATACATACATACATACATACATACATACATACATACATACATACATACATACATACATACTTTATTGACTTTCCCCAAGGG